TAAGTACGCAATTACGACTTATCTATCTCTTGGATACAGAGTCTAGATCGATTTCATCTGCTCTATAAAACCTCTTCAGGGGTCACACCAATTCCGCCGCAGTTTCACCTTCAGAATCGCAGGAGACCTCATCAACGGCGCAAGCTACGCGCAGCGCCTCATCCGCTCCGTCGGCGAAACCTCGTGGAATATTCAAGAAAAACTCTGGAAGAAATGTGGACAGGTGGGACACCTTTCTTCATCTCGCGCTATTTGAAGCGAGATTGTTAACACGTTCCGGACCGCGTGACACACATGGTGTGTCATAAATTTGTCTCTATGCGGTGTTTTATTTGATCATTTGGCTCTCCTTTCATGTTTAAGAGTTGTGATAATGCATTCTAGGAAGATACTTTCCCCATGAGCGATTCAAAAAAGGAGGAAATCACCAATGAATAACTTTTGAAAAATGGCAAAATGGTCGGGAGATGCGCGCAGTACGGCGGTCCGCGATGTGTTAAATATAGGAAATCATTTCAGCCGTGAGGATCATACTCAGACCGTACGAGATATCTACTCGACGTCTAGAGATGGCGGCAGTAATGGCTCACACTATGCTTCATCAGGATTTTATGGGAAGAAAACAATTCGAAGCTGATACTCCCAGCAGACAAGCCAGCTCCAATAGGGCTGACTATCTGAGCACATTAGACGGAGCAAGTTCAAATGGAATGAATTTGAGGTGAGTCAGTGAACTTAAAGGCACATTCCACCCTTGTCACATGGGCGTGATCGGTCATGAAGCTAATTTCTTCCTTACTAGTGCTCACAGAAGCTCCACATCAGAACTCCCAAATTTGATCAATAACCGTTCAGATCAAATCTCGAGGAGTACGTCCAACGAACGAACTCACAACGTAATAGCCAACGTAGTCAGTACGCATCACGTTTGGAGTTCAACGACACTGACATCTTCAGCGAACGAGGTGTCGATATTGGCAGTACTGAAAACAATATTCAAGTGAGATTCTCTCCTTGAAGAACTTTAATTTTCATTTCACCATGGTACCACTATGCCTTTGTTGAGTGCGACAGCAGTAGCGCAAAATACTTTTGCCATTTTTTCCTCTAGTCAAAGTGACTCTTTTTGTGGTTTGGATGCAGCCCCCTGGGAATAGATTGCGTGACGCCGCTCTGACGCCGCGCAAGCAGATACTCGCGCGGAGTCTCGATGACGAACGTCCTCATAATAGATTGGTATAAAGGAAACGCAATCGGCATAAAGTAGTGCCTGGATTGACCAATTAATATAGAAGCGCTGACTTCAAATGAGAGTTGAACGTACTGGTTTATGAGAGGTCTGGCAAGGGTTATCTCTCGGAGCGTTACTTTTCTCATGGTCCTATTGCTTCCATAATTCAGGGAAGCCGCCGCTTCTTTCTGAAGTATGGAAGCGCTATTACCTGGAACGATTTACAATAGTTACGCGCCGATTACGAGTACCTCGGCATTTGATCTTCTTTGTTCAATAATTAGAGAGATATTTTCTCCTTTCCTTAATAGTTTTCTAGTCTCTTTTGTTAATGTAAGAATATCGTCTACAAGCAGGCAGACGAATTGATTTTATGATGCACGACTTCAGCGCTCTGCGCGTCGCAATCGGTAAAATTTTCTTGTAGGCGTTATCTATCTTCAGTAAAGGTACAAAAAAAGAGCGCCCAATCTGGGTGGTGTTATGTGGTTGCATAAGGTATGACCGATACTGAGATCCTGAGTCAGGGCGACCTGGTTGTGCGGATAGCGGTACTAGTAACTTCGGTCACCCTCGGGCTAGCGGATTTTATTATCCTGGGTCAGAGTGATAGTGAACGGTCACCATTCAACTCGACAGATCTTGGCGATTCTGAGTGTTAGGTGAAAATAGGACCTCATTCTTTGCAATTTATTCTGTTCAAAAGTCCTCTCTCGCATCTCTTTCTTGTCTAATTTTAGCGTCGAGGTTTGGTGTAACACTGCCCCGGATCAACATCGGGACCGACGAAATAGGAGTACTTGATTGGATAGACCGTCAAGGAATGCGAAAAATTTATAATTTGGATGAATTTTTTGCCGGCACTCAATGATAACATTACTCTCGCTCACTGCGAAAAATGAAGTACGTAGTATATGATGGTTCTCTGTTTCAGCCGATGCTTCCAAAAAGTTACTCGGAATGGAGGCATTGTCTGATCGCTGGATCTCCAGTAAATAGAAGTGGCAGTCTTAAGGTTTGATTATAACCAATTCCCTTGTATGAAATCGAGATTACATCTATCAACTCTTAGGTGACCTCACTGGAGCAGGAAGCTGGTCGCCCAGAAGACTCTGGGATATCCTCTTACAGATCTATAACAGAGATCTATCATGCAGCTGAAACAGCTGAACAGGGCAAACCTGAGGAAGCACGTAAAGGTGAACAAATCTCAAGCCTTCCTCCATATTGCTTGTCTAGTTTCCCTATCTTGTTCTTCCTTTTCTCTATTTCTTTGCATGCTTTTGTCTACGACATTGATTTAGTACGTATCGATTTTTCTAGGAGAGCTAATTGTCGAACATCGTGATGTGTCCTCGATCGAGGTGCTTGAAAAATGTGTTCTACCTATTCGTGGATTCGGCGCGCGAAAGTTGACAGAGCAGGAATTAGGTGGGTCACTTAACTCGCAATGCTTTCCCCTTCATGCGCTCTCTCAGCAACCAGAACTAGGAACACCCACATGAAAGAAATCCGGGCTTCACATAATCTTAGCTTAGTCATACTTCATTACTGTATAATGCTCGATCCTTGATTTTTGTGCCAATGAACCTGCAAGGAATACTCTGATGACCTTTTTACTGAAGTTGAGCTGGTGGATACGGATTTCAGAAGTAGCGAAAAAATATTCGCTTACCAAAGGTTTGGCTGAGTCCAAAGAGCAAAGTTCCATCTGTTGCATTTCCCCTTGACGAAAGTTCTTTCATGCAAATGGCGAGACGTGTCAGGGCTTCCTGTGATTGGTTGCACTGGACAGCCCACCAGTAGCAGCCACTCAAGCACTGCTAATTCAATTCACTTTGAACCTGAGGGCAAAAAAGGGGTTCTAAGTGCATTGCTGCGAGAATTCAGAGGAATAGAGGCCGAGACATCTGCATGCAGAATCGACACGGAAATATGCAGCAGCTTCCAGGCCCATAAGAACGCATTTTCGTCCCCCATCTTTTGCCCTTGCTACAGGGGCTGTACTCTCATACTGTGCTATCAGAACTGGTAATAGTTTTTTCTGGGTCAAAATGAGAATCAATAAGATGATTTGAACCTTCAAATCCTCTTCGTCTTGATTTATAACGATCATTGTTTAGGTCGTTGGCGACAATTGCTCGTTAGAGATGCGACGTCAGCGCTCAGTGATGAATGACGACTAGTATCCAAGAACTGGACGACATCTCACAACAACCCGAATACCGTAATCTATTCACACGTGAGAAATGGGCGCAGATTATGCAATGTGTACATAACGCGCTCAATCAGGTGAGATTCCCTTAATTACGTCACTGGGTATTGAATCAAGTTTTAGACCGCGATAGCTGGCGAGCCAGTTATATGAATGATTCAATGTACATCCAACTACTTCCGGAGTTAAGAAAACTGTAGCGGTGTACCGACGTACGATGGGGAGAAGGCCATTTCGCGGACTGGCTAGATTCTTCGGGCACCCGTTCAGTTATTACCGTAAAGACTCAGGAAATTTTTTTGCTGAGCTTCAGTGTGGGGCTATTTATGCTCTGCTCATAAATATGACTTTCGTTTCTAACCCTGGCGCCACTACCAATAGTTGCTAACTGACCTCACACACAGGGTACAGCATCGTTGTGTCAAACCCATGGGGGGGTCGTACTTTTGCTCTGGGGGGGTCGTATTTGTAAGACAAATTTATTTTGATAGTTGATTTTTTCTTGTGGAAAAGGGGGGGGTCGTATTAATTTTTTTATATGCACTATATGCATTTTGTACGCCCGTGGATAGTGGGATATACGTTGCGTAGTTATTGTATACCCCCCCGGCCGGTGGAGGTGGGGGAGGGGGTCGTGCTGGACCCATTCGAAGGGGGGGTGTGTACCGACACAGCGAGATTTCGCACATCCCCATGCTCTACCCTGCTCACACATCACGATTGAGCCACTTTGGTCAGGAGAGTTTGGTAGGTCTGCGCAAGCTCTGCTGAGTACCATTTGATGCCCCCATAAGCCAAACTGTGCCAAAATTAGTTCGCTTCCGCTTTCGAACCTTAGAATAGAGAGCGAATGTGGGAAAAAAATTGAAATCAACCATAGCGGCAAAGGGTTCTTTCAAAGGGAGCGCTCAGCGCTAGATTGTAAGGGATTTCCCCTGTTCAAATGCACCTCCTTTTCCGCAGATCCAGCAGGTCAGAAATTTTTTCTTTCCCGTTGCGTTATTTTTGTAACAAATCCCACAGCGGTCTTCTACCCTAGTGGACTAGCCCCACTTTTACCGGTCCCACAGAATCCCGCGTCCAGGGATGTCTACAGGCAGGAACAAGCAAATTTTCCTGATTTCTGGGAGAAACCTCTTTTGTCAATCTAGTGCTGACTCTTCTGTACATCCTCTTATCCACGCTATGTCGAGTACATTTTACTATTTTACTTCCTATTACTGCGAGTAAAGCAGCACACACTTGACACTAAATGGTAGTGGATAACTTTTCAAAATCGCAAGTATAGCATGGCTTCAGGAAGTCATCCGTTTTAGTGAAAACCACCCCAACCAGGGAGGGGGCTAGGTTTGGGGTAGAGCCAGTTTTTCACCAACTGTGGCTGCCTGCCTGCCTCCACAATTGGTGGAGGATTAGCTGGCGTCGCGCTGGATCTAGCTATAGTCCTGTTTTTGTGCCCTTGGATAAATAATCAGTTCAGTACTTGCAGAGTACTGCTCCATTGCTCGAAAATGCGACGTCAAACACTCAACTAAACGTCTACATTGGTAATGTAGGGTCAGACTGGTGATCGTGATGTGTCTTTCTGGTAACCTTTTGATTTACAACATTTTGCATTATAATGTACGATACGGTGGTGACTCAAATGAACACTTTTTTCGAATTTATGAGAATTTACGTATGAATTGTGTATATACTCATTTTTATCCGATGTTGTTTGCATAAAAGTAAATCATTTCAACTCAATGCTGGCTGTAACATATGGGAGATCTAATTGTCTGACCCGAAGTCACAGTATTATCCCAAAACTCTGTTCCTACCAGAAACTCGCACGGAACATATTTGTTTAGTATATGTGGTCCGGTTATGCAATAAGATAGGGCCGTTTTCAGATTAAAGGCATATATCGCG